TTTTCTTTCTTTTAATTACTTTTTGGAAATACTCTGTAGCCTGTTCCTTGTGCAGCCAGAACTCCTGCTGCAGTGCAAACTCTCTTCATCTATTCAGCTCTTTCCTCTGTCTTGAGGTATAATCACTCTGTGCTGGGGCACTCTGAGCACAAGCAGGGTGATCTCAGAGGAGTCTTTGGTTTTATATCTCTGGCTAGGCATTAGCTGTAACTATCAGCTAGCAAGCAGTTTATACTTGGCCTCTACAAAGAAGCCTCGGGTCCACTCTGGATCAAGAAGTCCAATCACGAGTTGACTGTTGCAGTGTTGCAATATTCAGAAGGGACAATAGTGGTTCCATTTCCATTAGACTGCTTTTGGACCAATATAGCTTTGAATTTAAAAAAGTATTCATGTCAAATATACAATGTAGGAATTTGAAACTAGTACGATCTTAGTCTAATGTTTACCTGAGGGTTATTCAGCAAAGTTTAAAAGCTCTTACTCTGGGCCCTGGCACGTGTTACATATAAGGCAGCATGAAGGTGTTGAATGCATTATAAATAATAAACTAGCCACATATTGAAGCCAATTTATGGTATAATAATATAGCAAATGAGCCATAAGGCTGTTCCATGTATAATGTGGCTCATTTGAGTTGCATCTTAAGTTGAATGTGTGGCATGTGGGGCTGAGCCATGACAGAATCTAACACTCAGCTGAGCATAGGGATCCAGCATGGGGCAACACCAGGGTCTGGGATACAGTCCAATCAGTGGGATCAGTCTGGGGGCAGCACTGGGTCCTGGACCTAGTATTTTTGTCTGATTCCCCCGAGGCAGATGAGGGGATGCTGTGAGGCCAATATCAGGCACCCCCACCTGCACATCCACTTTACTTCCCAGGGCCCTTTGGCTCCACATCACCACACTGGGAACCTCGGATTCCCTGTGCCTGGCAACCTGGCCAGAGGTTCAGGGCATGGAGTTCTGACAATCAGCTGATTGTTGGCCTGGATGAAACAGGCCCATTCTCAAACCAGACCTGGGGCTTTCCCAGTTGGGACCAACAATCAGCTGATTGTCAGCTCCATCCCCTGGACTGCACTAAGGATTCAAATGTACCAGAGCTGGTTCGAGTCCTCTCTAAGGTCTCAGTGGCCAGCTGACAAACAGTTGATTATCAGCCAGGCTGGACCTTCAGGCACCTCTCTTTCAATTTGCCAGTGCAGGGGGAGTTCAGGATTATGATCACAGGCTCCCCCTGTAATGGCAAGTCATAATGATGCCATTGCAATCTGATCACTGATTCCACAATCACCTCTCCTATCACACTTGTATGGCATGACAGGAGGCATGATTGTTGGAATCAGGGATCAAACCCTATATCGCCATTAAATGAATGAATGCCAGCAGCTGTGGTTCTAAGAAATGGTTTAAATCTATCTCAATTTATGTGATGTTAGTCTAGCTTTCCTTTTAAAAGAGTGTAAATGTAACTATAAGTATGTAATGTGTTCTCTAAATTTATGAACTATTTCAATCTAGCTAAATTTTATAATCTAGGTTGTGACTGGAGCTCGTTTTAATCCTATTTAGCAAAGCTTTATAATGTAAAGTTTAGTTTGAAGGTTTTATTCTACTAGGCCTAATCCAGATAAAATTAGATAGATGAATAAATAAGATCAGTGATCTAAAGCAGACTAAAATATCCACTTATCTTAGGTTTTAAAGCCCTAGAATCTAACTTTTATTTTTAGCTGTTTGTAAGTACCATTGTGTCATTAGCAGTTCCATGAAAATAAGGTGAACAGGCTTAAATTTGAGCCTACAAGCTTGGGGAATTCTTGAAAAACAATAAAGAAATACTCTGAGAAAATATTTAATTGGAAGTAGTTGTCTTTGTACATTCAATACCATTACTAAGGATCCACTCTGGGCCATGTTAGTGGGGCCCCAACTCACGCAAATCATATAACTGACAATTCATAAACCCTTCTCGGTCCCATGAGAAGTAGACAGGAATGCATGTTACACATGCACTTAGGCTAATTGACTACTTATGTTCATTGATCCAGTCCATATAGCACCTTCAGCCCATATGGCAACCTTTAAATAGGGCCAGAAATTTGTCTAGTCAGACATCCAGTTAGTAGAGGGCAGTAGAGTGTTTTCACAATCCAATTTCTTAGTAGTTTGCATCATAAAATGGTGCTCCTACAACAGTCTGATACTATCAGTCAAAATTTGACAGCTAAACAATATTTTTATCTGTCTCCCCCTGGCTGCAATGTCAACTCTACCTCAAAGGTGTGGAGGTTTGATAATGTAGCACTTTTTATTTTTTAACTGATTTCAGTAATAATTTGATAAATTTTATCAAACTGTTAGGTTAGTAAATGTGGATTATATTGCTATTAAAGTGCATAAATGTCCCAGCAATCTGTTCTTACAACAGAGGCTCACAATTAAAGATTACCCTAGAGGCTAATGCTTCATTTCTGTACAACTGCTCAGTAGGTTATTTTCTGTGACAGGGGTAGATTTTCTTTTTGCTATATACTTGGTTGCCTCAGGCGTTAATCCCCAAATAAACAGATCTAGTAGTTTACATGAGGTTATTTGTGAATAAGCAATATAGATGTGAGGGGCATGGTATTTTATACAAATTAATTTTGCTGAATTGAAAACGAAATGCTAAGAATATGTTGAATTATGGCTCAGAATAATACTTTATGCTGGAACCCATTGTTCTCTCTAATTTTTCGAATAATTTGAGCATAGTTGCTTAACATCTCTTATAAATTTTAATTGTTATTAAGAAGAATGGCATCACTTAATTCCATCAAAAGTGCAGAGAGATAAATGGATGACAAATTAATAATTTAACATCTTTACATAATACTGTAGCACAAAATACTAGAAGGATTGATGGCAGAAGAGGTTAACAAATTTTAGCAGGTTCCATTAGCTTTTCATTGTCATATGTTTGTGGTGCTGACTGAAATAAGCTTTGTAGGAGATCTCAGTCTAGGGAACTAATTACTTGTGCCGATTGCCATACTGATGAATAGGCCCTCATTGTATCATTCCCCTGAAGACGAGGAACAGTCTGTGATTCACGACTGCATCCTGGCTGATATTTGATAATAATTTTAACAGATAAATGTAGGAAGGCAGAATGATGAAGTGCCTATCCATGCTGTACGACTATCAAAGGCATGCACGTAGCCAGCTGTGTTCTGCCTTTTTTCTATAATTGCCAATGGAGAATTTTAAGTTATTAATCGAGCTTTGACTAAATGTAGGTCTTCCCAGGTTTATAAAAATCTTGCTCTGTTTAATTATTCTATAATACTTTGATTTTTATAATCAAAATAGGTCAAATCTTGGCATCGTTCAAATGCCTCATATAGAATATAAAAATAAGACAGCAAGGTATTTCAATGAAAAGAGATACTAATCAGTATTTTTCAAAAGTGACAAGTTGGGACAATAAAAGAGATGAATATTCTTTTTCAGGAATAGGAATTTTATGCAAATAAATAAAAGGGTGTGCCTTAATTTCACACAATCTATTATTTTTAATAATCAATAAAAATCTTGGGTTTTAACATTCAAGTTAGAGACCATCTTTGTACAGTGGATTTTAGTACTTCAGTTATTTTTGTTAGAAAGCTTGATTTATCTTTTAACTTTGATTTTTAACAAAAAATTCCTAGCTTCATTTAGATTTAATCTTCGGAATTAAGAGAATATGGGTACCTTGTTTTTAACTTTTGGATCTGTGAATTATCCAAGCTATTCATGTGTTACTGTTGATGAGTACACCGTTTATTAGCTCATGTTTTCTATTTATTATTCTAGCAGAAGTTCGCTATATTAAGAAACAAAATTAGTATTTTGCAGGTGGGGCACACAGGTTTTCAGGCTGTAGACGTATAGTGATTGTTGTGTGCTGTAGGCATTTTTTTTAAAAGTATGTATGTATGTATGTATTTATTTATTTATTTTGCTGTACTGAAAATTGGTATTTTTGTACATGTGCTTGGCTAAAATATTAGTTTACAATGGCACTCATTCATGATCATCTAACAAGATAGTAACTGGCATTTATATATGACCATATTAAAAAGATCTACGTATATTTGGAGCAGGCAATGGGAAATAATGAATTTGATATAACCTTTTCTAGATGTAATTTTTTAAAGTATGCCTTCAATATACCAATTATTGCACATCATAACATGTAGTTTTTAATTAAATGTAAAAACATGACTACATAAAACAGAAATCCAATCTGATTTGCTTGAAAATAGATTGCTGTTTCACTCTCCTGGAATAGTTTATTTAAAAACAGTAAATGGAAAAGAAATGCAGTTTCTTGTGTTGTTCTAAGCCTCAGGGGCTAAATGTAATGAATATTTTAAGAGATTATTTTAATTAAATTCCTGCACATCTAAACAGAGTAATATTTTATTATCACATACATAACCATGTAACTGAGGTATTCATTAAAGTTAACACTTTCTGGACCAAGAATTCATGGTATGATTTACTGACCTTGTGCAAAAAGGCACAAATTAGGAAGAAAAATGAAGGGGGACAGACTTTGATTAATATAGGTAATGCTATACCATATTTATAATAGCCTTTTCCCTATTCTGGTTTATAAATGCAGTCACTGAGAAAGGTGCCCTGCTGAGGCTGAAATGAGGCTGAAATCGGAGCACATGCCACTAGAGTGTGGGGAAACTGATCACACTGTCAGCAATTCATTTCAAAATGATGTATTTAGTGCTCATTTCACCTTCCAAGAAAAAAGGGAAAGGAGTTCCTTAGACTGGAAGGTGATATTGTTATTTTCAAGGACATACCTAAGTAAAAGATTGCAGAAAGGGGGGGAGGTTAAGGGGGGAAAAAAAGGAGGCAGAGCAAACAAGGAGTGCTTTATGCAGAAATTCAGTGCTACCATGCTGTTTGATAATTGCTAACATATGTGGCTCCTCTGTTTCATTGTAGTCGTCCTCGTGAGTTCTGGCGCCTTGACTACTGGGAAGATGACTTGCGGCGCCGGCGACGATTTGTGCGTAACCCCCTTGGATCGACACATCCTGAAGCGACACTAAAAGCAGCCATAGAACATGGTCAGTGTAAAAACTGCTTCTTGCCAATAGCAGCAGGTATAGTACATGGCAATGAAGATTAGACCTACATTCCTACTAGACACTGTAAAATTGCTCCACGTTCCAAAGGCTTGTCATTGCTTTCAAACATGTTCAGCACAAAGATAAATTGACCACTATTTTTCATAAACAATGTTAGTATCTGTTAAATCTCTTCTTAATTATATCTTAATAGAACCTGTGTGCGTGTATGTCAGACGTATAATGATTACGCATACAGTTCTCATTACTAAAGAGCAAAGGTGGATGCAATTTTTCCACTAATCCCTGGGCATGTTTTTTGTGGTAAATTACTTATTTATGTTTTAGCAAGTTGAATAGTAAATATTTCCCTTTGAGAAATCCCTACCAATTACTTTAATTAGCTTTAGTGTAAAAAGGAAAGCATTTATAAAGCTAAATACATTTCCAGGCATACTTGTGTTTTTACCTCCTAAATTTTAATACGAGAATTAAGCAAGGGAATCAGAGTAACAAATGGTAAAATGCAAGACATAGTCCAAACAGCAATTGGTAAGTAATAGTATTGATGCCTTGATGAGGAAAACAGTATTTTAATCTGTTCATATGTACATATTTCACATCTTATTAGCAGAGGGGTCTTGATATGTGCATTTCCATATCCATTCAGATGTGCATCTCCAAAATTCCAATTTTAGTAACAGCTTTAAAAGCTCTTTGATAAACTAAAAGAAATGAAATAAGCAAAGCAATTAATTGTTCCATTTGGCTTGTAATTTTAGTTCAGTCATACATTTACATTTATAGTGTTATGACTTCGCTAATTAAGGTGCATTAATAAAGTGAAAAAAACCCTTGGAGTTAGTTAATATGGTTTCAGTTAATGTTGAATACTCATAACAACAGAAGTATTTTTTATGAAACAATTATTTAATTTAAATTATTTAGCAAACCTGCTCTTTTTTAATTTACAAATTCAATACGTATTTTACACACCTTTTATATACGCTTTGAACACTAGTTTTAAATCCATAAATCTATTGTTGTGGTTCTAGAAGAGCATTATCATCTTAAAGTTTGGCCTCAGCCAAACATCTTAACCTCTTGCACTCAGCCTTAAAGAGCCATTTCTGGAAGAAAATGTCTACAATATGTCAGCAGATATAATGCCAAATGTGACATCAGTCCTTTAAAATAAATGACCATACAGAGAATAGTCAATAAAGTGATCTAAAAGCAATAATGGTCCCAAAGCCCTACATCTTTTCCTATAGAAGGAGGAACAAGATGTAGAATTAATTAGGCCATTTCTGCTGTGGGTCTTGTTAATTTTGAGTGTTGTTTCTACAGGGTAGGTTTCAAGGGCATAAGATGTCTCTTGGCTAATGATCCTTACATTAAGAAGAACTGCCTCCTTTAAAATTACATGCAGTCTCCATAAAATAGATCTTGTCACAGATGTTATGAGTTCTTCTCGTATTTATAATGTTGCATTTTAAAAGGGATAGCTTTTCTTCCAAACTTTCTATACTTTTGTTTATCAAAATATAAAAACAATGCATTTTTTTTTTAGTATTTTAACTGCCAGATATTGAGAGGGTATCTTTATCTGAACACACAGTCCTTTCTTTATGAACAAACAGACTAAAATAGTTACTCATCTCTCCAATAAATGGGCCATTTTTCAATAACCTGAATTCCATTTTAATTTTAATACTTATTGCTCTCATTACTTATTTCCAGTTAAATTGTTATCATTTCAGTCTCTTAAATGTAGGGTTTGAACATAAACTAGACACAATTCATTTACCCATCTATGTGGTTTCTAAAAATGCACATAAAAGTAGGCAAATTAAGGAGGTTATTAGTATTGATGAGAAGCACAATATTTAGGTTATGTCCTGACATTTTTTCTCTGAGAAGGTCAGAAATGGGTGGTGAAAAAAAACAAGTAGTAGTATGATCAGGAACATAATCATAACATATTTAAGAAGTTGTTAAAAGGAAAATGTCACAAGATGTAAATACAAATTAAGTGGGTCAATTTAGGAAAAGATAGAGCAGGCCCCTATTTGAAATAGTAGCGTATTAATATAGCCTTCTGAATTGCTGTGAGAAAACAGCCCTCTCAATACAAATATAGAAACATTTTATATTATAATAACAAAGAAAAATATAAAACAATTTTGGATTTGAAAATTCCATCCTTTGAGATTCTGGTGACCAGTCTTTGAGGCTTGGTTCTCATGGGTTCAGATGTCACTGGAATTCTCAATGGAATAGAACTTGTGTTCTGTGGGGTGTCATTAATAATTTATCATGAAACATTCTATTTCAATGAAATATGCACTACTTTGAAGCAAATAGACTTTTTAAAGAGATTTCCCCCACCTTTTTAAAACTTATTTTTCAACGTGAGCCTACTCTGACATCAAACATAAGGGATTTTGTCAAGAGATGAGTTTGTGAAACACAAGTCTTTAAGTATAAAGAATAAAAAAAGAAAGTACTGCATTAAACATATCTGAAAACATTTTATTTTCAGCAACCGTTTCACTGTTAAGAGAGGCTTTATATGCTGTTTAGATTTTGATTCTGCTAGGCTTATCAAATACAATCAAATGTAGGCCCTGTTGCAGAAAGCTCACAATCTGAAATAGTGAAAAAGATTCAAAAATGATAGGAAGCCTAGACACAGTACAGTAAAGCCTGCAGAGAACAACAGCAACAAAAAGCAGATCTCTTGCAGCCCAGTTATGTTTTAAAAGCAAGAACCCATCTTTTTCCAGGGATTGATTTGATTTGAAAGAGAGCCTCTGGTGCAGAGGTGGCAGAGTAAATACCTGAAGACTAATGTTCTCTGTTCAGACAATCAATACCAGCCCCCTGACTATACTTCTGGCTACCTTCTAGTTAAAAACAAATTTTTTAATTCTGACAATTTAATTGCCCTTCCCAAGTTCACATTAACTTGCTTGGGAAAAAGGGCTTTAGGTAATTTTTCAGAGAAAAAGAGAACCTCCAATATGGTTATTTATAAAAGTCAGCCTTAGAACTGTATGTGTGTGGGGAGGAGGGGGGGAGAAGAGGGGGTGCTCTAGGAGGGAGGATTAAATATTTTTATCTTGCTTTAGAATTTGAATACAAAGTATCCTACAATAATAAATAATGGGTATAGAAAGTAAATTTCCTGTGTGGAAATTAGCAGCATCAGATATATATGAATATTTCAAAGTTGAGCCTCAAAAATCTTTTTTAAATGAATGATTTCAAAATCTTTCTAAAAGAAAATGATTTTAAATATTTTCAACATTTAATTAAAGATATGTTCTGCTTGGATTAAACTATGCTTCTATGGTATTTTCAGTTGAAATATATTTCAGATTGTATGAGTTTATGACCGTGGACAAAAAGTGTGATTAGCTAGTCAATTTTCATTACCTAATACAGAGTGGGAAAAAATCATTTTAAAATATTGTTTCTTCAAATGTTTCATTTAACCAGGTGGGGTGTTACTGAATGAAAGGAGGAAGAAATATGTTTTTAATTATTATGAGAGTTTAAAAATTAGTTTAAATGAACACTGTCAGATTAAAGATTTTAAAATTAAATATTTCCTTCCTTCCTTCTTTCACTGAATTTATCAGATCAACATATTGGTAACATACTATTGGCTATATGTTGCTTTCTAATTATTTATCAAAGTGATTCCTTAAACTATTCATTATTCTTAAACTACAAGTATATGAAGAGTTTAAAATTAAAAACCCTGTTATTGTATGGAAAGGTATACTTTTGTCAGTAATGCAAGATTCATTGAGACTTAGTTCCCAGTTCTGCAATGAGGGTCTGCTTCATTAAAATTAGTAAGATTCTGTGTAACCACAGTGGGCTTCTTGCATAGAGTTCCTTGAGGGATAAGGGCCCTTGACTGTAGTGGGAGCAGTATGTGTTTTTAAAACCTGATCCTAGATATATATGATGACCATATCCCATACAGTATGAATCATGCTTACAAGGGCTTCCAGTGTTAGAGTCCTGATTCTGAAAAGAGTTAATATAAGTGTAGTCTTTGGGATCAGGGGCAAGTGGCTCAGGCCTTATCATGAAATGCAAGGCTTAGGGTTGTACAGTCCTGCAACAGACTAACTTCACTTTGCAAAATGTGTTTCTTTCATACTTCTAAACAGATTTACAAGAGTAAATTGTGTTTTTCCCTAAACACTTTTTACATGAGAGAATATTAGCTACTGGAAGGTAGAAAATTTATAATACTTTTGTGTGTCATCTGTTAGCATTTTGCTAAATTGATTACATGAATGAGCATGCACATGTAGGTATGTGTAAGCTAGATATATCTGTGGGTATGCTGTCACGCACACACACGAACACATGTATACTTACAAAGAGAATTGATGGGTTTGTTTATACATGTGTATAAATTAGGTGCATCTGTGTGGCTTTATCTCTTGAAATAAAATACACGTGTACTTGTACATGTGCTTTTGTGCATGTATGTCTGTGCACGCACATTAGTCTTGAATTCAGTGTTGCAGTGTGCCAACAGATGATACTTCAAAATAATGTCACATTCTGCCCTCCAGGAACTACCATTTATTTGTTTGTAGATGCATATCCAAGCTTGTGCACATAAGTATATGCATGTATACTTATATTTATATACAGGAGGGGACTGCAAATGCCTGCTAATAGATACAAGGAAATTCCGGAAGTTAAAACGTTCACAAACTCTAGCTAAAATAACCAGTAGCCTCACATGTTTAGTTTGAAGAAAATATTAAAGCAAAATGCATTAGGATCATTCATATTAATACAAACGTTATATCTGAATGTTTGGGAAAAAGAGGATGGTAGAAAGGAGTTACTTTCTAGGTCTTCAGTCACCTTGCCATGGGAAGCATTAGGTTGATTTTATTCTTTGTAATGACAGAGAGAGAGAGAGACTGCAGAAAATACTTGTAGGTTGACTAGTAATAACTTGTTTTGAGTCTAAAAGTCAAACAGACAGATCTTGGCCTTCAGATTAAATCTTAAATAGGCAACAGGTATAGTTTGAGTTTGAAATGAGACCTTTGGTGTATTGTGCCTTTATTTCGCTGATGTCCTGATATACCAGAGAGTGACAATATCTGACATTTTCCTGTAAATGGAGAATAATGAATGCAATGCAGACATGGTTTATAAAACTACATATAAAATCTCCCAGCATTTATGAACATATTCATTATCCTGTTTTGTAGTTGGAATAGTTTTGTCCTCATTTTAAAATAAATTATTGAACAGTATACTGTTTCAAGCCAGTAAATGCTAGTGCATGTGGTGTGTATTAGAATACTGTTGGTAATTTTACTGCTGCTAACTTAAAATCCTCAAGGGGGAGTTAATTACAGGAAAACCTTTCTAAATATCAGCTGCATATTTTCCATGACAAGAGTGTTTTCAACTCAGGTTGAACAATTCCAGAATCTGAGTTTTCTTTAGTTATACGAACTGATATATTTGAGTAGAAAATAATATTTTTGTGGTGTGCAATGCACTCAGAACTTTTCAAGGCAAAAAAAGGTTATGTATGACATGGAAAAGTGCTCTGATTTGAAAGAAATGATCATGCAGAAGAGAAGCAGTTTCATTCTGTTGGAAGTTAAAAACGAAAGTGGAAGTGGAAGGCCTAAATATAAACTAGGGCTAAAATAGTTTATTTTTTGCAATTCATGTGCATATATTTACTTAACAATTTAAGCCATTGTATGTTGCCACTGGGGGATTGCCTACTTCTGTAAATGTTTGCAGATTAACATTTTTTAAAAATAAGCCAGTGGAACCTCAAATCCTGTATGGCAGCAATCAGAGAAAGTCAGGAGCAATGTGTTGAAGTTAGTTGGGCCTGATGTGTTTGGCATATGGTTTTCAAAGGAGGTATGACCTTGTACATTCTTATTTAACAGGTTTTTAAGAACGAGCATTTTTGATCTTCAGGATCACTCTATAATTTCCTACCTGATCTGTAGTACTAAGCAACCTTTGCCTGGAAAGAGCCACCCTTCCCCTAGGCGTTACTACTATGAGCTGGAAATCGAAATAGGATAGTGTTCCCCTGGCACTGGAAAGAGAATAGGACTTCCCCGTGGAAAAAGTGGGCTTTCCTGGAGGAGCTGGAGGCCGATCCAAGCAGGGCGCAAGGGGGTGGTGTTGATAGTGGGGAGGGGGCTGTTCCCAACACGTTACAGTGAAATGCATTGTCATGTTAATACAAGGAGCGCCTGGCTCTGACATGCAGTACTTCAGTACAAGGTGCAGGCTGAAATCCGCTTGCTAGTTGCAGCGGTAAAAAGGAGGATTTTTCACCCCCCCTTTTTGAGGGTTGCTTCCCCCCCCCCCCTTTTTGCCACGGGCAGGGACACGTCTGTCCCTTGCCAGGCTCTCAGCACTGTGGCGATCGCAGGTGCACGCGGCAGGCGACTCTCTTCCCTTAGCGCCACGTCTGCAGGGCAGGGGTTGCGGGGGGGGCAGGAGTCGTACTCGGCCAAATCCCCCCCCTCCACCCCCGCTCGGGCTCGGGAGGGGCCCGGCGGGTTTCACTCGCGGCAGGTTCACGGGCACACGGGGCACCCAGACGCGCGCGGGCTGAG